GCACAACAGTTCAACACATGATATGCAGACTTGTCAGTAAATCCAGATGGCAAATTATTCTTATTTTAACCTTTTTAAATTTTGAATTGTTGGTGTTATAATATGTCATTCTGGTTTAATAAAGCTTACTTTTACTTACTTTTATAGTTTTGGGCATCAGTTTTATTGATTATGATAACATTTTACTCAATAAAGTAGCTGCTGAGATCAGGCAACACTAGAGTTCCTAAGTTGTGAGGGGGGGGGGGGCACGATAACGTCAGTGCTGGCACCTGACTGTTAGCTAGGGTAGGTGTCAGCAACAGACACTCATCCTCTCATACACACACACACACACACACACATACACACATGTGTAAAGACACAAGCACACATTCTCATACACATACAGTAAATCTAGAAACACACACTATCACACACACACACACACACACACACACACACGTCTTCAAGGTAAAAAAGTCCACCCTTCCATTATTAGTTTATGAAAGCCTGTTACATAAAAATACAAAAACATTTCACATTATACAAAAACACAACAGAGGAACAGATTATATGTCTGTATTTATTTTCATCAGAACACAATTTTAATCATTGTAGCATTAGTTTTCATACTTTTCAAAAAGATCATGACTTGTGAGACTGTTTTATAAATCATTTCATCAAAGTTGTTTGTAAAAAAATTAAAGAAGTTACTTGAACTAAAGCATCTATAATATTACAATATACTGGTAGTATAATAGTAATCATAATAATCATAATCGCAATGATACTTCTATATGACTTTGAACCTTTTTCATTTCTATAATCATAAATCTTTCTCTGTCACACACACAGAACCTCAACCTTTCACAATAAAGTTGCGAAGCTGAGGACGAGTCTATTGGTTAAACCTCACCACATTCTCTTTTAACATCAATGATTTCAGATGCTCGAAAATAAAAGAAAAATAATTAGAAGAAGAAGAAGAAAGTAACAGCGTGACATCAACTTAAAATACACAAGGAAACCTGGACGCAAAGACATACATTGTTCAGCATACTAATGTATTTACAACCAAAAAAGGAATGGGCTTCTGCATAGATCCACAGGATAGAGAACGGAACTATTGTGAAAACAGAGAGAGGCTGAGAGGGAGTGAAAGAGGGAACTATCTGTGTGCATACCATTTGGTGGTGGGTGCACTGGGGGTGAGGGGCAAGAGGCATACATAGTCTATAAGTGCAGGGGAAAAAAACATTAAATTAGTTGTTGTAGGTTGGTGTGTTATTGAATGTGACAGACCACTGTAGGGGGTCTAGCCTGAATCTATAGGACCCTACACAATGTCTTCTCAGTATGATGCAGTGTAAAGTGACAAACCAAAACACTTGAAAAATGGAATTATCACAGCAGAGTAACCTGTTGTGTGCATGCCTGCATTACCAACAGAAGTCAAATCAGAGATTTATATCGGTCCAATCTAATTCTATTATATTCTGGAAGAGAAGCCTTGCACACGAGGTGCATTCTTGGTGTTAACATGTCTGCAGTGGCATGAAGGACGGCACATATGCACAGCATTCGCACCCATCCAACCACAGTGAGGATGCATGTCTGCATGTGGAGCAGACATGGGTTGTTTTTTGTGCATGTCGAACAGTTGGTTTGTGATGGCTGTTACATCACAGCATGAATTGCTGACATGGTAGGCAAATGACTTGAAGAGATCCCCGAGGCCAACATGTGTTCACGGTGAGGGCTGTGTGAGGCTTATGGGATGGAACCTGTATGTTGCTGACTTTGCACATTCCTCCGACACTGACAGACCCTGTTTTCCTCCTGTTGCCCATTACGTCTGAAATCTCATGAGAAGCAGTGTGTCATATCAGATTTTTATTGGGTTTATTTTACTCAATACAAGGTATGCTTTGGCACCGGTTTCGGGTCGTTATCCACTTCATTCCCCCTGACCTTCTGCGCACCATCTCATTCTTAGACAAGGCTTGAGGGAATATTCTATCAGGAATGTGCCAGAAGAAAATAGCTCTACCCCTACCCTAGTCTGTTTTGGGTCTTGGGGCAATGACACAGTTATTACACATTGTACAGTACAATGGTTTCATACTACAGTCCATGCAACTTTAGGGCTGCAGTGAATAATGAGAAAACTAATGTAGCAGGTCCCTGTGGGTCTAAAAACAGTGGTTTGCCACACCTGTCCTGCAGGCCCCAAGGTCGTAGCAACGCTAATGAGCTATCCAGAGAACACAGCAGTTAGCAACAGACACACACACACACACACACACACACACACACACACACACACATACTCATCAGCACACTTTTACTCACAGGCCCATCACTTTCTCCTCCAGAGTTCAGCCTTCCTGACTCATCTGTATATGACAGTCCTTGTGTGATAGGTCTTCAGCAGCAGTCGCAATATAAAAGAATATAAATATCTCCATCTACTGGCGGCCAATAGAATAGCAGCATTTTTCTATCACTGACTGCGGTCATCCAAGATGGGCATGGGTATACTGTGCTGAATGACAATGAGTAGTTATGTATTTCATGCAAGCAGGGATGGTCATGTCTAGAGTGGGGCAGGTACCAAACAGAAAATGTGTAAAAATAAGCCAATATACTGGTTATATAGACATGGTGTGAATAAAGATGAATTTTAAATCCTCATATAAGCTGTATAATAAAATTCTTGACATCAGATATCTTATTGGACATCTCATTTAAGTAATCAACATACTTGAGAGTGGGGAAAAAAAATGCATTCAACAACATCTGTTCGTCTTCGAATACCTGATCTCACAGCCGTGTTCATCGAATAGACAAAAGACAACGAAGAAACCAAAGAAGAAGTCAGCCCTTAAGGTCACACCATTCCTTTCTGTTCACAAGCTGGTCAACATGTATAGAATAAACATAAGTGTCAGCTGACTTGGATGATTATCAGGTTATGCCATTAGTGCTTACACAAACAGTGACATGCTCCTCTCTCTGGATGTGTTTCTGTTACTGCTCTCCAGCAACTGCCGGTGGAATGCCTCCGTACTGCAGGTGTATGAGTTTAGAAAAGAAACAGGAAATGAGCCATGTTTTTACCCTTAATTGTCGGCTAACAATTTGGATGTGCATGTTGTTAAGTGTGTCTGACTGTGTTGATGATAATGTTTGTACTGTATATCTTAATAAGCCCTTTACTTAATGAGACATTAGTTTGATGTTTTGAGGAGAAAAGTACAAGACAGGGGGGCATGCTACAGGAGCTGATTTGGGATCAGAAGTGGAGTGCGGAGTGGGGCTGAGGACAATTAACAAAAGAGGCGGTCATAACCTTGCAGAAGGCCTCCACATGCAGTTCATGAAAATTGATTACACATTTTGATTCAATAGAAACAAAATTGAACAAATTGTCTCTGTGTTGGTGATATGTAGAGTGTCATTCTATGCGTACTGTACGGCCAGGGAGCAGGGTAACGGTGTAATATGCCTATTGGTGGACAGGGGATTTTCCTTCACGCTACTGCAAGTAGCACGCTAACTTGCCTAGTGATACTTAAAGTCCTTAAAAGTCCTTAAAGGTAACATCCAGTCATCATGTTTCCTGTGAATAAAAAGGCCTGAGGTTTAAATGACTCCACTGATAAAGACGTCAGTATTGGTTGAGGCGCTAACTGTAATTATTTATTTTTATAAAATGATTCATACTTGAACAACAGGGAGAGGGAAAATAACTAAGGTCCTTAAGGCAGAGGAGACTAAGGAACCTTGCGGACATTATTTTGACTGGATAGTACCTTTAAAATCTAAAATAACAAAATCGTATTCATCTGGAACAAAAATAACATATATTGATCCAGTGCAATAATCCTGATGTCAGTTAACTTTGCTGAGCATTGTTGCTAAAAAGTGACCACACTCGGAATAGGGTTTCGGTAAAACGCCTGAAATATCATCTTTGGTTAAGACAAGCTTAACACAGTTTCATGTTTTGTTCTATGAGATAAAATGATCCTATCTGTGATTTCTGTAACTTCCTGTGCAGTGATCAACAAAGTTGCTAATATGTGGCTGTCTCTTTAAGAACTTTTGAACTATTGTTATTATAATATATTATGTATAATTATTTTGATAAGAAGTTGTTCATTTGGCTCAGCCCTAAGGTAGGGTTTGTCTTAAACTAAAATTGTCATTCTGGTTTAATAAAGCTTAGGTCTTACTTTTATAGTTTTGGCCATCAGTTTTATTGATTATGATAACATTTTACTCAACAGAGTAACTGCTGAGATCAGGCAACACGTCAACTTCGCTACGATGAAATCCAATGGCAAAAAAATCAAGCAGTTAGATCTTATTAAATATGTATTATAAACTAACTATCATTTTAGCCATCCAGCTTATCTAAATCATTGTGTTTGGTGTTAAAACTGAAAGTGAGTACACCTAAAATGTTTATACTAATCCTTCATTGCACAGGAAAACTATCAGCCGTTATTGTATCTGCTATATGAGTTTAAACTGGTGAGTGCAGTGCCTTGATAGGAATCACGGTCAAGACTATGAAAAGAGGTCCTAAGTTGAAATAAAATTGAGATACCAGTGTTGGTGATATCGGAGGAATGCTTCCTGTTTGTTCCTATTGTGTTTCACAGTTTAGCTGTAAGCTTTTTACTGATGATTACAGAAAAGTGTTGATCCTTTTAAAACAGTGTTAATAGATTATCTCACAAAACAAAGTGTTGGAAAAACCATAATCCTGTGTTGAACACAGTGCTTGTTACGGATATCAGAACCACATTTAAAACTCAGTGAAGTTTTAACAGGAGTGTGGACAACATGGCAGAGCTAAGTGACATCGGGGGGGGGGCATAAAAACATCATTGCTGCACCTGCCGGTTAGCTAGACTGTTCAGGTACGTGTCAGCGACACTCATCCTCTCACACACACATACACACATGTGTAAAGACACGCATACACGCACACGCACACGCCCACGCATTCTCGCACACATACAGTAGATCTATAAACACAAACCATCGCACACACACACGCACGCACACACGCACGCACACAGACTTGCAGCTAATTTGTTTTACACATTATCCGTCTTATTCAGAGAACACATTTTCTTCCTGTATGAGAGAACCAGAAACAAACACAAAGGATGAACATTAGAAAGAGAATATGATTGTGTTATTCCATAATCAGCCAGTGCAACAGAAACCATTAATTGGAACACAGTGTAAAAAAGCGTAGTGAGAGAAAATCAGCCATGGGGAAGCCGACCTTCCCACTCAACAAAGGCCGTGGCATTGTCCCCTTTCTATCTAAGGGACTGGTTGAGTCCCTTAGTATGTCTGTTCACTTATTTATTTGTTTTGATTGATTTCTGTGTCTTTCGTCTCAAAGCGTCCCACATTTTCCATGTATGCGTAGCAGAATGTCCACAGGCACACGGCTCCTCCCGCCGTTCGCAAAAACTGCGGCTGTATTATTCCACATGGTGAGGGAATCCCCCACCCCAACAACCTCACCTCCTCCTGGCAGCTCGATCACTCCTCGCTGGCAGGGCTCTCCTCCAGAGGCGTGATGGCGGGGAGGCCCAGTCCTGTTGCATTGTGGGATGCAGTGAGGCTGGCAACAGTGTGTAGGAGGACGAGGACCAGCAGGCAGAGTTTGAGCCGGCTGTTACACAGTCTGCAGGCTGCCGAGGAGCTGAGGGAGGTACGGTGCTGGCACGGCGGGTGAGTTCTTTTCAGGGTCCCCCGGGAACGGTTGTCCACTTTCAAGTCCCACCGCACGTCACAGCACTCTGCATCTGGGTCAACACCTGATGGATAGTCCTCCAGCAGCCCTGGGGGTTGTTTCGGGGGAAGGGTGGTGGTAGAGATAAAAACAGTCAGCTGACACGTTCTCTTAAAGATGCTGCCATGTAGCATGTTTCATAAATCCTGTACTTGCTTTCTGTCACAAAAAGAGCATTGCTGCTTCTCCAACGTTCCCCACAAGCACTGCTTTGAGAACCAAAAGACATTAAAGACAATAACAACAGTGGACCTCAGTAAGAATACATTTCTATGAACTAGGAAACACAAGTTTGATTGTCAGTGCTTCTTAATTTGCTTGTGTTTTAGATATTTGCAGTTGCAAGCTGAAACAATTATTCGAGTAATTAACTGACAGAAAATGAATAGAATAGAATAGATTGTTAATCAATAATCACTTTATAGTGACAGCTAAAACAAGCTATGTGAATATGTCATCTTGGGCTTTGGAAATGATTCAAATATTCTGACATGTTAAAGACAAAATGATTCATTGATTAGTCTTTATTGACAATAATTGTTAGATACAGGCCTTTTGCAATGCTCTAAAGTTTTTAAATGTGAGATATGAGATTATTTTGAAATGGTGATCAAATGTTTTCTTGCTTGCATTTCGTTCATTTCATTTGTGGTCTTAAGCTGCAGTGCAGTGATCCATCTCACAACCAGGTTGTATTGAATGTGTGATTTCTCTATTCTACATGCTGCTGCACTCCTAAAGTCTCTTTTATATTCTGCTCAGAAACATTATTGTCATTACTGTAGTCTTACCTTTGCAACTAGGCCTACAGGTACACCATAGAAGTATTTTTGATGTTTGAATTCTGCATAAAGATTGTCAAAACATATACCGTATTTTGTGCTTTACTGACGTTATAAGCAAAGGGTGTTTGTCACAGCCTGTGTGCACCTTAATATGAAGAGTGAACTTTGAATAAGTGTGTGCCCACTCAGCACAGTTTGACTGTCAACAGCTTAACCGTGACAAGAGGAACCATGTAATTACAGCAAGATTGTGACAATCATCTGCATTTAGAGCGACTGTGTTTGCAGGGTTTTCGACAAAATACGCACATACACAGATGCAGAGGTGAAAGACACAACCTGCAAGTGCTCTTTTCATCTCACTTATTTCTTTTTTTACCCAAATACTCGATTAGTCTTGCCCAGTGCACCGCAGCATAATGAACATGTAGATGCCACATGGTAAGAGCTTACTACTGCTTTAAAGGTTTGGTGATATTCTACATTTTCCGTTTTGTCAGCAAAGCCCATGAAAAACTAAATATTATCTGAAGTCATTCAAAGACTGATTTAGCTTATTCTTATGAGCTATGGATCCCATGATTGTCCTAAAACTATTTTTTTTAAAGTCACACCGTTGTACTGGTAGAAAGGTTTCTTCAGTACGATGAACGTCAGCACTGTAGTTTATTTTGACTCAATCCCACACACACTACTTCTTGCTATACATTTCACTACACAGCAGATTTGTATTTATCTACAGCTGCAAATAGTCCCAGACAAATGTCCTAATCCCTCCAGTTTGAGTAAAATTAGCCTTTTCTTCTTTTCATCTTGAATGTAAGTATTTACAGTATGACCCACTTTTTAAGATTTCGTCTGATGACAGGAATGGGCTTGGAGCTGAGAGCCACAGACAGGCTGGCTACATCAGAAACTCTTTAGAGATGGACCAACACAATGTTGATTCTGGTTTCTTGTAGTTAATAATAACAAAAATATAGATTTTTTTTTATATATAGCCATATCCTTCAATTTCAAAGAGCCACAAATTCAGTCTTGTTTAGTACTCTTCATAAACAAATGAATCAGTTCAAACGATCAAAAGAAAAGGGTACACAAATAAGAAACACATGCACTACTTTTATTTCATCCGCCATACTGTACATGAATGTAACCTGATGTTCAACATGAACACCAGAGGGCAGCACCAACATGTGATGTCAGTGTGTGCCTTTGTATTCATCATGTTGAGGGGACAGAAATCTGCTCACAGTGTAACACTGCGCCCCCACTCACTCATCTTCCATGTATGTGGAGACAAAAACCTGGTCTTGACAGGGTCAAGCATTATTTAGAATTCAGATGTGTGTGTGTGTGTAAGTGCGTGTGTGTGTGCGTGTAAGTGTGTGTGTGTGTTTTTATGGCTGGAGATAAGCACATTCACTAACACTGACCCACAGAGTGCCATTAGCTGTTCAGTACAGATAGAGCATGCAGACTTATTGTCACAGTCCACCATTGTACAGATGCCTCTTGGTGCTGTGAGTAATTGGCAGAATTTGTTGTTATGGTGTATCACCCTGTTAGTCTGGTGATTAAAAAGAACATCCTGTAACTGTAAAGTCAAGTGTGTGACCATCAGAGTTGCTTTGAACAGGACACTACGCTCGCTATGTCCTCATTATTTACTCTTGTACAATGAGACACTCAGGCCAAAAGCATGATGGCACCAGGTAAAGGCAACTTGTTACTCATAGCTGCCAATCCCAGATTTGGGGAACTAATGCTCTTTCATCCCTCAAATAGTCAACAAAGCACTTTTCTCCAGCTGCACAGTTGAGTTGTTTGGTAACCTGGGCAGCTGTATGCACATTACTGATGCCAATCTTTAAAATAAGGTTAAAAGAAAACAAGCACAGGGGCTAAAAACAAACAGAAAAAGGCACAAACTGTAGGATGATTTTTTTTTTTTGTACCTGTACATATAAAACTGGGGCTGCCTCCATGAATGAGATCATCATTGTCGGGCAGGACGAAGGGGCACCGCTGCTGCACCTCCAGGCAGTACTGACCACAGGGGATTCGCTTACTGCAGTGCATTTGGGTGGTCTGGAAGTACTGAGAACACAGCCAGGGCTTATAAACCATCTAGGACAGAGAGACAGAGAGGTGAGGGCAGGGGAGGGAGAGAAGACGGGTGGAGGGGGTGCAGAGAGAGGAAATCAATGAGTTAGGGAGGGTTGCACTGGATGAAACGCATATACACACATGCAGACTCGCACATGAACGTGCATCATCGACGACCTCTACAGCTATTGATTCACACTGAGCAGATATCCTGGTGATCCTGATATCCACTGTTTAATGAATGTGGCTGTTGCTGGGCAGTCATCACTTTGTCAGTCAACATACAGTATTACCCAACCTCCTCTTAAGAACAACTGAGCGTCAGTGTGTAGCCTACTGTGGATGCATTGCTCAGTTTTCCGAAGGATGACCTCAAATACACAGATGCTTCATGAAATAATTCCTGGTTGAAATGTAATGCACCAGAGGACCAACAAGTCAAATCACAATGTATAATGTAATTCTAAAGTAAACATATTAGTACCCTCACTACTGTTATCACTCTCAGATCAATGCAGGGACTATCATTAGACAATAATAGTTTACTGTTGCTAAACTGTTTTTCTGAAACTATTTAGGATTTGTTTATGTAAAATGAAAATCAAACAAAAGTTGTCCACATGAAAACTGAGCGAACTTCACTGAAAGAGACCATGAGATTAGTTGTGGTTGAAAGATTCGAAAGAAGCTCGTCGGTGGGCCTTCAAGAATCAAAACACGGAATTGGATGACCTATCGCTACCAAATAAATAGACAGCTCTTTTAATGCTATAGCAAAAGTAGACAACAATCTAAGTTATTACCGGTATCTGATGCAAACACAGCAGGATAACTATAGCTTTTATTTTGAATTATCATCAGTTCACTAACATTGAATAACACAAACACTGGTGTTGTGTTACAACAATTGGCTTATTATGTATGTCAGATCAGCTCAAATGTACAGCTCGCGGTTAAAACAGGGCCTTCATCGTGTAATGTTGGAGTTTGTTTGTGGTAATTTGTTTGAATTTTCTCACCCATTTTCTCAACTCTACAAGTGGGGACAAATCATTTACTTAGCACTTAATTTGTCTCCTCTCATTTAATAAGCCAGTCGCCTCATGCGGTATAATCACCTGCAGTAATTTGATGGTATTTCCTGTGAAAAACTCCAGAGACTGTGAGGCAAGCTAGCACCTGCTATGAGCTAATCATCACGCCTTAAAACCGTGCACTGGACCATATATCATATCATTCCCCCGTAGATACTTAATGTGCATGTTGTGGTTGTGAGCCAGAAAGAAAAGAAGAGAGCAGGATTGAATGTGTATGTTGATATTTGTATAATAGCAATGTAGGGCTCATCTGGATGACACACATATTTACAACAAAAAGAATCCCTGAACATGTTAAAGAGGAAATATACACATGGGCAACAACGTGTAATTATTTTGGCAAAAACATACTAATCAAACATGTAAGTAGACAAATCACACAATTAAATCATTATGTAAATATTGCTTGAACATATCCGCTGGGCTGAATCATCTGTCATGCTCTTTGTAGACTGAGAGGCACATACGTGCATTACTAAACACATGCACATACTGACATTCTGCACACATACCGTACAGTAAATTGCTGTATTGCTAATAATTGGATTTCCTGTCGAAGATAAGGTTGGTTCCTGCGGACACCGCACACACACACACACACACACACACACACACACACACACACACACACTGCCCTTCTCTCTAATCTAATGCTGCATAAATGTCACAAATGAAAATGTGTCCGCATTACCTAATGTCACATCTTGTACATACAGCATTAGATAAATATTTCTAAATTACTTGTGAGTCGATGTATGTGTGAGAGTACACGGTTGTCTTTTGCATTTTGCTTGAGCATTGAGCAACACATTTTCCACCTCATGTCCTCCTGATCCCGGTGTTTGGACAACTTCTCATCGTGTAACTGTCAGCCAAGGGGACACGAAGACAAACCGGGTGAAATTCAGCAACGTATCACATTACACTAACGATGTCACTGGCAATGCGTGTCAAGTAGTGTTCTGTTTTTGGCATTTATCACACATTTCCCCTTACTCAGCAGAATCTCAGAAAACAATGTTAAAGTCAATCATTTGCGCTGAGGCTCAGACAAAAATAATAAAAAAATCTAAAGCTGAATAATCAACAACATCACAAATGAAGAGATTGTGTTTACACAGCGCCCAAAGCGCCCCGTTAGCTTTGCCTCCGTAGCAGATAAGGTGTCACATTTCCTTACATCAGAATTCAAGTCAGTGTTGCTTAATGCTTATTTACAAGGACAAAGAACTACAGTGGGTTGAATCAAGGTGACACCTAGACCATGTGACAAGAACAAAAAAGGGCAGGCGTGTCTTGTGAGCCTGCCAGTCAGCAGAACTTCTGTGCGAAGTGAACAGATGTGGTGTAGGTGCCGTGTCTCTTTTTGGCCATTTGCCACAGAGTCATGTCATTTTGCACTCAGTCCCAGTTAGTGAAGCCCACTGCTGCTGCTGCATATGAGATCTCACAACCACCAGTCTACTGTAGACCCGTGACAAGTAATTTGTCATCCTGCTGTCACATCTCAGAGTGGGAGAGAGAGAGACAGCAAGTGAGAGAGATAGGGAGAGGAGTGTCAAGATAGAGATAGTCGTAGGATGGACTCTTTCTCTCATTTATATAATGAGAGTAAAATACTGCTTTCTCCTCAATCACCGACTCAGTAAGTAAGAGGTCAGCCAGCTGGCTCTCCAATTTTAATTCTCCTTTTTCTGTCAACTTTCGCCTCCTTTTACACCTCCCATTCACTTTTGCTGGCTGAACCCCTGTCATTGCGTCATCTTTCCCAATAAGGGTGCGAAGTTGACACAATACAGGCCTCATGGATTGATTAGCTGTAGTGATTTTATACATGAAAAACCTACAAGATGTATTTTCAAATAAAGACGGTGAACTGCAATGTACTATAATTCATTACTTCAGTATTTATTCATCAAGGGTAGCCCACATCAGTGCAATGTAAATATGTATGGCCAACCTGATCTCACATGAATTACATGATATGATCACAACCTCTTAACAGCACATTGTGTTGCGGTGGCACGTACTATGTTAAAATGACGTGCCGATTCTACGGAAAGATCTCGTCATCTGCACTCCCTAGGCGGGCTGACTCCATCATCACAACAACAGTCATGTTCACCATTCTTTCAATTTAGGACACAGCACATCAGTACATCAACATAGTTGCGTTATACTCCCTGCTCTGTTTCTCAGAGTTTCTCTTTTTAACAGAACTAGTGTTGTCAATCACTCGTTATTTACATCACTTCTAGTAGTAATGCATGTAAATTGATAGATATAAAGTAAAAGAACATCCTCATGGAGATAAAGAACAAATGCATTAACTTGCTTGGGCTGTAAGTTGAGCATTCATAGTGCCATAGTTGTTCAGAAACCACAATTTCCACGGCAAATGCTTCAGTTCAGTTGCAATCTCTTTGCACAATGCAGAGATATCTAGAGGCAGCATGAATGCAATCAAAGTCAATGGAAAGAAGACAGTGGAGATCAACAGATGCAGATGTTCAGAACAGAAGTCTAAAGTTGAAAATGACAACAACAACTTCAGTGAATATCTGTGGTGGTCCGAGTTGTGTAAAGAGAGATATCAGGAGATAAGTCTGTCTGCTCAGCACAACAGAGTCGGTGCTTGTTGTAACAGCAAACGTCAGTCGGGAAACTTGTTCATTGCTTGTGGCTGAAAGACTAAAAACACTCCTGCGGTCAAAGCAAGCAGAAAGTTTGCTTTTGAAATTTTAAAACGAGACAATTGAAAATATTTAGGTTGCATTACAGTCCAATCTGCAGCTCTACAATGGATTCATTTTTCTATCACAGAAAATAATGCCTCAATATTTGATAACATCCCCCTCCCCTCCCTGCTCTCCACTGGTTTGCTTGCCTGTTGTTTATCTGCAGAGTTGAGTCTCAGCTGTCCTCTGGATTGGATTATTTCATAACGATTAGGCTAATAAGGTTGTAATTGATGGAAGGCCCTATCCTGCTCTGTGGTATTGGTTTTAAGTGGCCCCGGATGGCCCTGCCTTGTCAGAGCCTCATCTTTAATGTTGTGGTTGTGGCTGAACTGCTGACAGAAGCTGAGGGAGCTGGTAGCAACACACCAGATTACTGCAACTCTTTCCTCTTCAACATGCAGTACAGTACAGTAGCGCTACAGAGAGGCACAGACACACAAACACATGCGGAGTCTCATGAGCCGCCTTGTCAATTACAACGAACACAGCCATTCACTGCTTCGCTGCGTTGAGGCTATCCGCTATTTTTTTATCCTCTTTTCTGCTCTTCTTATTTAAATGATCCTCGGCTTGAATTATGAACCAAGACAAGTGTACAGCACAATAGCCTGGTATTAGCATACTTTTAAGTTGTGTCAGACTGGGGCATGGAGGTAAAACAACAGAGGGAAATGATGAAAAATGTGTGAATTCAGGTTAAGCCTCATTGTCTTCGCTTTTTAACTATTTTCACAGGAATTTTGTCTCAGAGCACTTAATGATGTTAGATGTCCTGCTGCAAAAAGTAATTTACAGTCAACAAGCACAGCAAAGAATATCTTTGGAGACAGAAAATGCAAATATATTGTATTTATTCTGACTATGTTAAAGAACTAGAAATAGAGAGAATATTTTTGGAATTGTGATTTTAACAAATGTTTAAATATTCTCAGAAGAGGCATTTCAAAATGTAATTTTGTAGTATTGAAATAAATCAATGGACCCTATGCACTGTATACTGTCTACTGAAGAAAATGCAATTTCCCCAAAAGCACAGATTATCAGTCTGCAATCTCTCCACAGTGTTGGATGAAATGAGCAGTCCATTCAAGCAGTGACAGAAAGGCAGTCCAAGATGTGACGGGTCAAATAGGTGTCCTGCTTTAGTAGGAGCCAGCATGTAAACTATCACTTTAATTCCTAC